CCCCCCCCCCCATATGGGACCTTGCGCTGGGAGGAATCTACCTTTTGTACGCTCGTGCATATGTCCTTCGTACATGAATACACACACATGGTGTGTCGTGGCATATTAGAAGATACCTTTGCGTGTTACGTCATCGAAGCTGCTGAGAAATTTTGTTTAACAAACTTTAATTATGTAATCGAAATTGTTATTTATTTGTCGTACCTGTACTTAATTATATTGTACACAATTGAAAGTATATCCCGCTCAAAATTTGAATAATTCAGCTTGTTTAACCTTTTAGCAGATATTTTGATCGTCATCAATATTGATACTTGGAGTTTCTTGTGAGTGTTACTGTACAAGAAACAGGCACATATATTCGGGTGTTTGTCATGATCTGTGCAGCTGTGAATACGTGTCAAATCCGATTTAAATGGACCATTTTCTCCGTTTGATTCACTGAACACAACATGAAACATCGCCGAAAGATTATAAAAAAATATATTGAATAAAAATGACGTAGAGCAGATGTTTTGTTGTTGGTTTTAAATTCAAGAAGCCGTGGACTGTGCACCAGACATGTTTTCGTCGTTAAAACTTTCGAATATCAGAGCCAGATCCAAGAACAATCCCAACAGTGGTTTTTCCTCGTCTCATCAAGACTTAGCTGCTGGCAATGTACTGAGGTCCAAGCCTCCCAGAAACACACAGCCGTCTACCAGGAAATTATCCAAATGTAAGTACCACAAGTCACTTTGTCAGCAGACCCTGCTTCCAGGATTAGGTCTATAACATCCATCATTTGAATCACATGAAATATTTGAGACTGTTCCAACACTCGGTAAGAGCAACGTGAAAGATACTCATCACCCTGATGATGGAGGCAGCAAGGTCCTCATGTCACGTTGGTAAACTTCTACACGACTACACCGGTGCTGCAACCCAGAAGGCAGCCAGCCATCTTGTAAATTCCTGAAAACCATTCATTGACCACGATCCAGATGGAAAGCAAAGTTATTTGGTACAAGCATTTTACAGCTGGGGGTTGGCTTTTGTTTCCATCAGGTGCAGGGGACAAGGGTTTGTGCCCCAGTATCAGCAGCTTGCGTCCAAGTGGTGTTGTACAGCGCTGCGATGCTCTGTGTGCAGGGGACCGCATGGTAGCCGTCAATGGCATCAGCTCAAATCGCCTTAACCACGACGAGATTGTGACCCTGCTGAAGGGAGTCGAGGACAAAGCAGTTCTAGAACCGGAGACCCCCCAGCCCAAATTCCGTAAGTGACAACATGGACGTAATAAAACTTTCAGTTCAGTGGCCAGAAATTTCTTTTATTTAAAGCCCGTGGTTGGAAAAGTCATACAGGGAACTTACTGGAATATTGCTACATCCGGATGTGTTCAAATACGAGGTGCGATCGGAAAGTTTCAAGACTGCGCGTATAAAAACCCGTACACTTATCTCAGGTATTAAATTCATCCAACACCCTCGAAGTAGTTCCCCTGGGAGTGAACACAACGATCCCAGCGCCGCTGCCAAGGCTTAGAAAGGAAGTTTGGGTCGGTTCTTGCAAGATCTTTGAGCTCCTGACTAACGAGAAGTCGATTCTGCTTCTGGTCCTCAGACAGGAGCCTTGGTTTCGCATGTGGAGTTCTTCCTTTAGAATCAGCTGACAGGTCGCATAGCCTATCCCAACAATGTCGCACAAGTCGTTATGGTACGACGTCGATCTTCGTGAATGGCCTGCCGAATCTTGGTAACATTTTCGGGCGTTGTGCTCGGAGATGGTCGTCCAGAACGCTCGTCATCATCGACAGCGGTTCGGCCATTTTTAAAACGTGAATGCCACACAAAAGTTTGTGCACGACCCATTGCGGACTCCCCAAATGCTTGCTTTAGCATTTCATAGGTTTCCGTAGCCGTTTTGGCGAGTCTTTGGCAAGAGATTCAGGCAGAATCGCAGATGGTGCTTGACAGGCTGACAAAGAAAGATTTCCAGGGATGCTTCCAGGCTTGGCAGCGGCGCTGGGATCGTTGTGTTCACTCCCAGGGGAATTACTTCGAGGGTGATGGATGAATTTAATACCTGATATAAGTGTACGGGTTTTTATACGCGCAGTCTCGAAACTTTCCGATCGCACCTCGTAACTTGTTCCTGGAGACGCTGTATGAGGCAAAATGTTCTGGTATACGTCCAGCACGGTGTTAATGTGTTTATATGAAGGCCTGGGTGCAAGAAGGAGGTTAATCCACCGTGGTAAATGTTTCAGGAGGACCAATGTTTCTTGCTGTAAATTAACAAGAAATTTTTAGTGGAGCCTGCGTTTATGGTTTGATTCTTTGAATTTCTTTATTTCGATCGCGTTATATCCAACTTACATCCGCGTCATGGAAACAGCATTCTCTTAAAAATCAGTAGCGTTATGAAAACACGCGTTTTAAGAGAAATTACTGTGTCGTAACTGTTCATCGTCATGTCTCTCGCGTTATTATGGTAAAACTGTAGTCGTTTTGCACCATCGACTTCTCTTGATGCGATAATAGGCCGGATTCCGCTGCTTATGTGATAATTAATTATTATTGATGGGTCATATCCTGTAGTAGGTTTAATTGGTTCAAGGGGATATAATGAAATGAAAAGAAATATTGTGGTTGATTAAGGCTGGGGTAAGCTGGGCGCCAGCACTATTAACAGCAAAATGATTAATGCCATTTTATAATGAGTAACCAAGCCGGTAGATGGAGATGCTGTCTACAGAATCATAATGATGACTACAGGTGGTACTCGAACTCGGTAACACCAAATTTTCTTTTGGATTAACCAGATTTACAAATTTTCTTGTAAGCTTCAAGGCCACTTAAGGACCTTACCCCCCCCCCCCCTTTCGAACGCGGCTTTAAACCATAAGTCGCTGGTTTTGTTACGCTGCTAGTTCTGGGTCGATGCTGTGGTTGGTGGTTCTTGATAAATATTATCCTTTGTTGTTCCCGAAATAAATCAAACTAACGGGGTTACATCTTGTTAACGTGGAGGCCACCCCCACAGGTCCACCGTCAGGAATCTCTGTCCATGGTTCATAAGACATTCGTCTCGCTATGTGTGCATAATGTGCGGGACAACCGCCATGTTGGAACCAAACAGTCCGACGAGTTTGCAACGGTAAATATTCCAAGAGGATATGCAGTGTCTCTGAAACAGTAGTTTTTGGCCGGCTAGGAGCGAGTCACTTGTGCGATAGTATGATGCTGACTACACCGAGGAGCTTATCAGACTGAACGCCCAAACAAAAGAAATACACTGACCATGCCACTTCAGGTACACAGAGTAGGCCCGTCCGCCAGCTCCGCTAGCTTCTCCACCGGCCAAAAACTACTTTACCGACTATACCAACGATGATTCATCAGTGATACGATCGCAAGCGATGGAGCATCTTTACCGACTATACCAACGATGATTCACCACTGATACGATCGCAAGCGATGGAGCACCAGAAATTATCCATCGTCCCTGATGATCGTCTTCCCGAAACCAGTGAGGAATTTTAACAGACCAGTAGCGCGTGCTCCTCAAATTGACTTGACTGTCGTACAGTAAAACGAACTTAAATTTTGGACTTTATGATTCGTACGTAAAGCAAGTGGCAATAAACTTTGTTTTTAAAAAATAACTCAGTTCGATTACATCACGAGTGAACGTGTTTTGTTGGTGTCTTAGGGTTTTGATTCACCACTTTAAACCTCAGTATGTGCATTTTGTTGTTAGTAGTCGGGGATTCCGTCGAGTTTCGTTCAAGACCAAAAGCCCTTCGCGACAGTAGAAGTTTGAAGAAAAATCAAAAGAACTTGGTTTTCTTCGTATCATTCCGCAGGTTCTCGTCTGTTTTCGTATTTGGCGCTGGTGGTGGCCAGTGAATGTTTTCGTGATCAGCCTGACGCAGTAGCCATTATTGAGAAATGGTCTTTTGGAAACGGGATTTCTCCGTCGGGTTAAAAGAGACCTACAGATGCAGCAGTCACGTTCCTAGGTGTGTTATGTTGAAGGCGGTCTAGGTGTTCTGAGTCTGTATTTTGGTAGACAGTAACATTAAAGAAACTTGTATTTGTATGGCGACGATAGTGAAGACTTTCAATTTAAATTGTAAACTGAAGACGCAGACTGTATACAAAAGAAAGCTGGAAGTCTGCACAAAATTTTGTAACGTATTGTACAGTGACAGGATCTGTTTGTGGGACTATCGGCGGCTTTCCAAGGCGCACAGTACCGTGTTCGACACCCGTGAAGAATCTCGATTTTGAAGGGTTAGAAACCTACTCCACCGTGTTTTGGTTTTCTCTAAAATATTTCTTCTTTAAAGGACAAGTCCAATGAAGAACTTATACAATGTAGTAAATAACTAAAATTGCTACTTAACGCTGTCTGAGTTGTCCGATTCCGGTATAAATGGCGAAGAATTATTTGAGGAACTGAGAATGTGTACCAGGAATGTACCTTCAAATATAAACTTTTATGATTCACCAAAATATGTTATAGATAATAATTTAATTGAAGTTTATTTTGATGTTTTGCTTCAGCAGAAAGATATTTTTTTCAAAATTGAAATTAATAAAAACTTACGTAAGATTACCTTTTGACAAGAGAGATTGCCTTTCTGTCGAACGTAATTTGGCTTTAATATTAGATTATTCGACTGTTATAGATTAATTTAGCACTGCCAAATTCAGAGGAATGAAATAAAATTGTAATTATACCTGTCCAATAAGTTGTCGTGATCTTATATTGAAGTTTTATTAGTCTTGCCAGCTCTAGAGCTGCCTCTGAGTCTTATAATTGATATCTACTGAAGTAATCTTAATTGCGATGTGTTTCTTTATTTCTTATTTTATTTAACAACACTGAGTGAGTTATGTAGCACCAAATGAGAGGCTTATTCTGAATGGTGAGTTGTTGGAGGATGGGGAAGGAAACATTCATGGTTTATTCTACCATTTAGCCACGGAGACTAAATAAAACCACAGAATATACATGTAAGATCTGTCTTCTAAAGGTCAGGAATAGAACCCAGTACCTCAAAAATGTATAGGAGGAATTTTGACCACTTAAATGCGTAGGATTTGAGGTTCTCGCAGCAGTGAATATGAAGATCTCTGTCTTCTGGGTTGTTGCGCTGTGTAGTCCGGTTGAAGTTTACCAATGTTTTAGAGGTCCTTGCTGCCTCATTGCCCTGATGTTGGAGGTAGTAAGGACATCTGAAATGTTGGTAAATGTCTACCAGACTAAACGGTGCTACTACCCAGAAGACGGTCATCTTCGTCGCTTAAATGTGGCATTTGGTGGTCTTGGTATTGTTAAATTTTGTGGCCTGCTGTAAGAAAATTAATTGTAAGTTCTGTTTTTTTTGCAGCATCAGACAGCTCCTTATACGTGTGTCCGAAAGTGACGAACGTGACAATAGAGCGAGAAGCCGGTAGTCTGGGGTTCACTTTGCGAGGAGGAGTTCATCCGGACCCTCTCCTGTCACGGCCTCTTGTGGTAACTTGTGTCCACCCTGGGGGACCTGCAGATAGGTAAGTCTGCGAATTAATGTTGGTAGTTGCTTCCACCAGAGCTTGTTTGAAATAATAAGCCTACTGAATAAAGATCAAGATTTATAACTCTGAATGTTATGAAAGTTTTAAGTGTTGCGTAAAACAGTAAACATTTTCATGATCATGTTAATTATACAGTGTGATCGAAAAGTCTTGCTATACATTAAAGCAGTGTTTCTCACTGGTGGTATGCGAGCTAAGTAAGAAAATCAATCAAAGATTTGAGGTTTTCACAGCGGTGAGTATGAAGATTTCCGTCTTCTAGGTTGTTGCGCTGTGTAGTCTGGTCAATGTTAGCCAACGTTTCAGAGGTCATACTGCCTCCGTCATCAGGGCGATGACCAGACTACACAGCGCAACAACCTCTCTGAAACGTTGGTTAACATCGACCAGACTACACAGCGCAACAACCCAGAAGACGGAAATCTTCAAAATCAATCAAGGCTGAAATTAACTGAAATGGAAATCAGCTCTTCATTAATTAGTGGAGGAAGGTAAAAGTGGTTTGGGTTCTTACAGGGAAGGTTCCTTGAAGAGTGGTGATCGTCTAGTGGCAGTGGATGGGCAGTCTCTGCACTGCGCTAACTTAGCAGATGCTCAAACTCTTCTCCACCAGTCAGACTCTAAGTTTACTGTGTTGACAATTGAATATGATGTGAGCGTGCTGGAGTCGGTTCGTCAGGCGATAGGTCCGTTACTGGTGGAGATTGACAGGCCGCCCGTGAAAGACCTGGGTGTCACTTTGACCAGTGCCATCTCAAGGCAAGAAGGGGAGACTTCAACTGTAATTGTTATAGAGAGCATCAAACCTGCAAGCGTAGCAGAAAGGTAATGAACACTATCATATTTCTGTACTTGTTGTTTGAGAATGATTAATTTTTATTTTATCAATTTTCAAATGAATTAATGGAAATATTTTTTATCTCTTTTAATATTGCTAACATTTGAATTTATTGTGCGTATACATAGTTTTGCATCTTCGTAAATTATTGCCTCTATTTAAATCTGTAGGTTTTCTTACAAGACATGGAGAAATCAAATATTTTGAAGTAAATAGTGGCATGCATTTCATGAGTTTAAACTGCTCCACCCCATCCTGTTTCTCTAAGATTCATTTTAATATTATCCTCCCACCTACGTCTAGGTCTCTTTCCTTCTGGTTTACCAACCAAAACCCTGTATGAATTCCTCTTCTCTCCCATGCAGGCTACATGTCCTGCCCATCTTACCCTCCTTGACTTGATCAGTCAAATTATATTTGGCAAGGAGTACAACTTATGAAGCTCTTCATTATACAACTTTCTCCAGTCTCCTAGTAATTCATCCCTCTTAGGTCCAGATATTCTCCTTAGCACCCTGTTCTCAAACGCCCTCATTCTGTTGTTCCTTCCTTAGTGTCAGAAACCAAGTTTCACACCCATACAAAACTACAGGAAAAATTATAGTTTTGTCTATTTTAATCTTTACTATTTTAGACGGCAGACGAGAAGACAGAGGGTTCTGAACTTAATGGTTTCAAGCATTACCAGAATTTAATCTACCCTTAATTTCATCATGAATTAAATTTTGATTTGTTACTGTTGCTCCCAGATATCTGAACTTTACCACATTTTTAAAGGATCCATTAGCTGTCTTTATGGTATGATTTTGTTGACGAGACATCAACATATACTTAGTTTTCTCTGTGATTACCTCTAGACCAACCTCTTGACTAGCATCAGTTGGAGGTTATGTGTTGTTCTTTATTGTATTTATGTTATTTCCCAGTAGATTTACATCATCAGCATAGACGAACCTTGTGCTTGAATATTAAAATATATTAAAATTGGCCGTCAATCACAATATAAGATAGTTAAAAGATTAAAATATCATTTTACGTTCCTTATCGAGTACTCGATTTACATGTGGAACATTTACGACATGTTTCGGCTATATATAGCCGTCATATAAACTTAAAAATATCTTATAAATATCTTGTGCTTGAAGTTTATTTGAAAGTTACAGCATATAGCCAAATATAAGAAGGTATTTCCCACTTACAAATCATAGCTGTTGGTTCTTAAGGGGGCGCATGTAAAAATACTTATAGAAGAGAGGAAAGGAGCCCTTTTGACAAGAAAATAAGTGAGGTTTATACAGCTATTCTTTTAGTGTACACCAGTGGTCCTCCATGGCACCCACCAAGGCTTTTTTGGGTGCCCGCGTTGTTACGGAAAGAGGTTATACTGAATAATAAAGACCGTTCAACCATGAACATTATAAAATCAAAGCGCAGATCTGGACTTACTGACGCCCATCTTGACGATTGTTTGCGAGCAGCAACATCATCCTACACTCCCAAATTTGAAAAACTGGCCGATGAAATGCAGTGCCAAACATCACGCTAACTTCCCACTTGAGTAATAATAATTGTACTTACAAAACTACATATTTTTGATTACATGGCTTTTTATATCATTTAAACGTCGTGTTGTTTTGTGTATTATTTGGTGTTTATATCTTATTTGTCCAGAGAAAAGAAAATTTGGCTTTGTTAATTGGTTGGTGCCTGCCACGATCTCATGAACTCTCAATTGTGCCCGTAGGCACAAAAAGGTTGGGGACCGCTGATGTACACTGATATTTTTTCATGGATTATAACCCGATATAATAATGACAAAGCCATGGTATAGGATGTGATGCATGCCAGTTATGGATACCACTGCCTTATCTTCCAATACACTCTGGGCCTTTAAATGTCAAACAGAAAGCCTGATAAAAGTAACAAACATTTGACTCACTTTTCAGTCTACTGGAACGCTCATTTTAAGTGTGTGATTATTTCTTGCAGGTGTGGCGCTCTGCACGTGGGTGATCAAATCCTAGCAATCAATGAGACACGCATAGATGGGTCAACCATGACTGCCGTAGAAGTGATGCAGCTGCTAAGAAATATTAATAATGCTCAAATTACTCTGGAGATTCTGCCACTCTCGCAGTTGAACTGTGGCTGGAGACTGTCTGAGGACAGTGTCCGTAGCAGAGGTAGAACAACTTTGTCCTAAATATTACTGCAATGACAGACTCATTGAAACAGTAACATTGGGTAACTCCGGCACTGTTAGTACCCAAGAGGGATGGATCACACTATATGTTAGCATATTATTAGACGACTGCCAATCATACTGACAAATTGGACCTCTACCCCATTCCACAGAAGATATTTTCAGTACCTTTTAGGGCTGTCAGGTATTCAGTCTCATTGACTTAGTGGCCATCTATCAACAAATCTTTCTCCGTCTGTTGTGTTTCCTATTGATTTCATACTCATAGGGCTTTTTTGAGTATCACCACCTTAATTTTGGTGTAAGTGCAGCACAAAGCAATTTATAGAACATAGAATAGGCAGACAGGCAGTGAGATAATCAGGGCAACCAAGGGAATAACAAATCTAACAGTGCTAGCAGAGGTAAGAGTAATATCCAATGTTATCATAACAGTGTAACATTATATAGCCTATAATGGTTTTATCAGCGCCATCACAGTGGCCGCGTGGGCCTTGTGCCTCTTGGTCGCTGGGATCGTGGGTTCGAATCCCACTCAAGGCATGGATGTTTGTCTGCGTCTTTCTGTGTTGTGTTGTCCTGTGTACTGGTAGAGGCCTTGCGATGGGTCGATCACTCGTCCATGGAGTCCTACTGTCTATAGATCAGGGCCAACGAAAAGTTTGGACCTGCAGATTCTCAGGCACTGAAGAACGGGTCGTATAAAATAATTAAACAAACAAATAATGGTTTTATCAGTATACTACATTTAACGAAAATCCTATTATCCATTCTCGAGTTGCTATAATGCGCAGCGTTTAGTTTCTAGGCTCACTGATAAATTGCAACATGATCTGGCTGGGAGACATGACAGACAGACAGACATAGACAGGTCTGTAAACTGAAGCACAAAGAAATCCTTACACCTGGGATTTGTGTAGGGTGAAGGGACATTTTGAAGAATTTTACTCTCTTGCTTCAGAGTTATATGCCATTAGCCATGTGATAAGACAGTAAACGAACTGTCCTGGGAATTGCATGGAAGTTGTCACGACCTATTTTCAGAAGTCTCCTAGAATTAAGTTGGAAGGCTTCACGTATAATGTGAGAAATCTTGGTATTGATAGCCAGTCTCCAGAGATTGTAACCTGGAATCTCTGTAATATTAAGACATCGCTAGCTAGTAACTTTATCACTAAATTTATTTTAACTTAAAATATTAAAATTTTCCATTTATTCAAGGTTTTCTTGGGCCAAAGTGCAGTACGACAGGCCTCCATTCCCCTAGCCCAAGTCCATCAGGTTTTAGCACACTCAATTCATGCCGTCATCGTAGCAGACACCACAGTCATCGTTATCATCCACGGCTCAATAGGTTGGGCAAGGCGGAGAGTAATAGCACCAGCTGCCATGACACAGGTATATGATTGTTACATTGTAAGTGTCTGGAATGATAGAGTCACAAATATGATGATGTTTATTTTCTTTGACTACTGACTGTGTATTCACTTGGAGTCATGGAAGATCCCAGTTTTGACCAGATGAAGGAATACAATTCTATTGGAGATGCTAGAGGTTTTCTCCCAATAAAGATTAATATAAATAGTGTGTGATAGACACAAATATTTTATAAGGATTAAACCTCTAGCGGTCAGAACGCTGGCCTTGTAATCCTGGGGTCTCGGGTTCGATTCCCGGCGGTGCCCAAATTTATAACTTGTGTTGGTCAAGGCCGTGGTCTAGGCAACACGGAGTTTTCCTCCGTGGCATCCCAACAATTACTCCATTCACACACAGAAGAAGGCAATGGCAAACCACTTCTGGATCATCTGCCAAGAACGTATATGAACAGGTCCCAGTCCAAGAAAAGGATGGAAGGATCCTGTTCATAATACGTCGCCAACCTCCTGTGAAGGAGACGGCGTGATAAAGAAGAGAAACCTTAGTATGGAACCAATACGGCTTGTAACCCAAGAGTCTTTCATCAGTTTCAGTCGCCACGAAAGCTTCACTTAATACATTAAAAAATATGATCTGTTGTTCAGTTGTTTCTTATATTAGTGATGTTACAACAATATTTATTTTTTGCTATTATTCATTCAAGTTCTTAAAAATTATCCATCTTTGTTATACCCACAGATCATTTGGTTGTAGAGTAAATATGTTATGATGGACTGTTTTATTGCGATTGTAATTGGAGCTTAAGGTATGTCTGATTGGCAGCATCTCTTCCTGGGAGCTACACGGGTGGTGTGTTATGCCACGCTGAGACCCTTCACGTTACCCTACAGCCTGATCATAATGGGTATGGGCTGACTGTAACGAGTTCAGTAGACTCCAAACCTCCACCTATTGTCATCGGCAGCATTGAGCCAGGGGGACCGGCCGATAGGTATATGTTCATTATCTACTTATTGCTCCAGGGCAGTAATTTCCAAAAGAATAATTTTATCTGCGAACATTTTTGTACTCAAAAAAATAAGTTTATGGAATTCTCAACTTCTTCCCACCTGAAATGACCATTATATATAAAAAGGGCTTTGAATTGAATAGATTTTGTGTGGTATACAGAAGAGACATGCAGTTAATTACATAGTTAGCTGGAGTTTACTATATATCTTACAGGAAAACCACCATTAAATAGTATTCAGTAACTACCCGTTTTTAGAAACATTTGTTTTTTTTAATATATTATGTGAGATGGGTTTGAACTCATCCCAAATTTATTGTACTAAAAAGACCGCAGCATTTCAAACGCATCTACATTGAAGATGGCTGTCTTCTAGGTTGTAGCACTGTGTAGTTTGGAGGAAGTTAACCAACATTTCAGAGATATTTTCTGCCTCCATCATCAGGGCAATGAGTAAACCACATGCAAGAAATCAGTTTTAGATATGGGAACCAGTTAGTCATGACAGAACCTTGAAAAGACTAGTGGGAAATATGGTGAAGATCGGGTGAGGGAAACGGGGCCAATAGAAGGGGGCGTATCAAAGCTTTGCCACAAATGAGGGAAAGGAGATGCAGAGAGAGAGAGGGGGGGGGGGTAAAGGATATAGCCCTTATAAGGACCTCTTAAGTACATGGGGAAGACCACCTGACATCAGGTAATGAGGGTAGATGGAAGAAGGAGAATGATTAAAGGAAATACACAGTGGAGAAACTGGATTAAATAAAGTGAGAGTTCAGAGAGAGGAAATAATGAAATTGGCCTGGGCCAGATTCATGTCCTGAAGAAGACAGCATGCTGGCCTAGTCACCAAGTAGAGACAGGCACTGTTCTTTCAAAGGCTTCCTACAACATTTGGAAAAAAGTGGCAGAGCAGCTTCCATGACTGGCTCAGGCAAAGTCCATCCTCCCTGTTCTTTTTTATTGGGGTGTAAGCACAATCTCAGTGTCCTTCCTGATAATTCGGTCCATTTACCTGAACTTGGTGGAGAGGATTGTAGTGTTCTGGAGTTGAATGTGGTGGTGTAAGTTAGAGTTGTGTGTGGCTGATTCATCTTGATGCTTGAGGTAGATGTGATACTGCTGCTTCTTGGCCCCCGTCATGGTGGAATGGCCAGCCTGACCAATATAGAATTGACCATGCTTGCAGGATATGCTGTACGTGCCAGGAGTCGTGAGCCATCACCACTAAAATGTTTTAGTTAATAGTGGTAATGAATTGTGACAGATGTGTATATGAAATTTGATGCTAATTGGAAATAATCATGTTTTCTTTTTACTAATTTTGATGTAGCTGATGGCACATCTTATATGTGGAAAGTCAGTAGTTTAAATGTCTGCTTTGTATATATCCTACTTTCCACAGATGCGGTTGTCTTCAATCTGGTGATCGGATTTTGGCAGTCAACAACAAATCGGTAGCATTGGATGGTCTGTGTGCAAATGAAGTCGCACAGCTCTTACTTTGTGCTGATAGTGAAGCCTTGATGACTCTTCATGTGGAGTTTGATGTTGCTGATGCAGTTGTTCCATCTAGTGGCATTTTTTCTGTGAAACTTGCAAGACGAGGCAGTGGACTTGGTATCACAATTACAGGTATATCATTTATAAAAATGTAGCGTTCAAGGAAACACATTTTTCACATTTGTTAACACTTGAGTATCAAAAGGGACATATATATCCTACTATGTTGTGATATTAAAATTTTTATACATTCAAATTAATATCATCTTACATGTCTTAAATGCTTCTGTGGCTTCATAGATTGTCAGAAATTAATTTTTAATTATTTTCCTTGTTATTTCATCATTTTATAAAGATATTAACCTTTTACAGTACCAGTGGCTTGTTCCATGTTTCTGCTCAAAGGAACAAAGTTTAATCTCCTGAAGATGACTTTCTTCTGGGATGTTGTGCCATGTAGTCTGGTAGAAATTTACCATTTTTCAGAGGTATTTCCTGCCTCCATCATCAGGACTTATTGTCCTGATGATGGAGGCAGCAAGTATGTCTGAAATGTTGGTATACTACTACCAGACTGCATGGCACAACACCCCAGAAGACAATTAGTTTCATAGTTACTGCCATGAGAAACTGAAATCTGTTAAAGCTATATTTTAAGAGCTATTCAAGAAGTACATTTTCACTTTTTTATGTATGACTCAGTCTCAGGTTTATTAAGGATGCTTGTTCAGAATATGGTTTCATGTTGGCCATCTTTCAACTGTGGGGAATGTAATGTACCATGGCAAAATGTTAATTAATTTTTATGTTACACATTTCAACACTGATGCCATAAGAGCAGCAGTCCCCATGTAGCATTGGATACACTTTATGCATGAAATTTTTTTTAACAAATATGTTAACTTTTTTACAAGCACAATTTTATCATTTGAAATGTTGGCAGCTTCAAAATCCCGCCAGTTAGGAGAACCTCTTCTGATTTCTGATATCCGCCGAGGCTCTGTGGCTCATCGGACCGGAACTCTGCAACCTGGGGACAAATTGCTGGCCATTGATAGCCTCAGACTGGATCAGTGCTCATTGGAAGATACTCAGCAGATTTTGCAGGAATCTTCAGATATTGTTACACTCAGGATACAAAAGGATGATACATTCCCAGGTAAAATATTCATAAATCTGAAAAACACGTTCATAAACTTAATTCCTGAGCATTTGAGTCTGGTGAATGTGTTGTGATTAACCTTTTCGGACAGCGTTCTAATGCCATTCTTATGTGCAAAAGTTTATTTTGATTAACTTTTAAAGTATCAGACTTTTAAATCCCTGTATTCCCTGCTGGCCCAATTTAAATTCCACAGTTATGCTACACTGTGCATGTATTTTCATAAAACAATGTATCTTTCTTAAGAACCCGCATACAAGAATAAAATAAAATCGTATTATACAGAAAAGTTTATTTTACCACTATCAGCCATTCCTCAAGCTGTAGCTCTGCAAGAATATTTCTAATTGAAAGGAATATTACACATATATACATTTTCTGCTGTTATTAGATTTATATTTTGAAAAACATTGTGATATTATTAATGTATTTATGTTAAAATGTGAATGCATTGTGTATGCATTTCTTTTACCTTAGACAAACAACTACAGAATTTTTTATTCTTCTATACACACACAAAAATTGTACAAGAAAGTTACCAATAAAAGTATTTAATTGTGTGTAAACCCTTAGAAAGCGCAAATAGGTGTCTTTGAAATTGCACTATAGAAATAATATTATGATCAACCTAAAGTAAAATAAAGCTGTCCCACTATATGCCAAGTAGGTGCTTGGGGGGAGTGGAGGTATAGCTCCTACTCGTTCTTAACCTCGGCAATAGATAATGGTGAGTGGTTAGCGTCAAGCTCCAACCACGCTTTACCCCTGGGAAAAGACCCTGGTACCCATTGAATAGGAGGCTGGGTGGGCCCCAGAGCCGGTCTGGACGCAGAGGCTACAGGAAAATCTGCCCCAGTCGGGGATCGAACCTTGGTCGTCTAGTCCATATCCAGTCACAGTACTGACTGATCTACCGTAGCTCATCACTGTCTATCTACAGACACAATTGCATACAGGCTTTACATTTAAAGCTCTGAAATAATGTAAATAAATTAAAGGGTATTTAAAAAAATATATTATATACACTTACAGTCGGCAATTCGTTGGTCCCCGCGATTGACTGCGATTCTTTCATGTGGTTGATGTGTACAGTCATCTCTGCTGTTATGCGATAGTTCCGTTCATGTAAGACGCCGACCTATAGAAAATCGTGTGGTTAAAATAACCCCGGTACCTCCGCAGAGATTAAATTAGTCCTTTGAAAGTTTAAAGCGCCAGGAATGAAATTGCAGAAGAGCAAACTCGCATATGCAAAACTTTGCATTTCACAAACAGCTTTTACCAATTCATCGATCTCATTGGAGCAAATTCGCGTTAACGAAACGTACGTAATTGCAGAGATGACTGTATTTATAATTTTTATTCAAAATCAGCAATGTAAGAATTACGATTTGGTATAAGCAGCAGTACGAGAAACATTGTAAAACGTTATGAATAATAGTAAAATATATTTTTTTCACCTTTTGACTTTCTGGTTTCAAAATCGGTGTTATTCTGAATCGGCGCAAATTGAACCAGCACAAATCGAGGGCTACCTGTACATCACAAAAACAGAAATTAAACCTGATGATGAAAGACTGATTGTGTTACAGGAAATTATTGAGTAATACTCGTACTTAAAACATTTTTCAATAGTGAGTTAGTTGATTCAGTAAATTGTCCTCATTCATATAGTTGCAGCCTGCAAATCAATCAGCAAGGATGAGTGGGACCCTGAGTATGAAGAAGTTGATAAATTCTGATTTAAATTGTGAGAGTTGATGAGTTGTGGTCTTCAGGGTTATGATACCCTGCTGTCTTAACTTCTACCCTAAACGTAGAGGTGTTAAGTTCCTCTGTAATCTTGGTAACCACTAAAAGGCTACATGGCTTCATAATTCAGAAGACTACAATCCAGATGTTCAAATTGTGAATTTGGTGTCTAAATTTTGTAATAAGATGTAAATTGATTGTATTGTAGATGTTCCAGACAGCTGCAGTGTAGTATACACTGTAGAGCTTGCGAGGCTTGGAGGTCCTCTGGGAATAACAATTGCTGGTTCAGAAGAGCCGTTTGAACCAATAACAATATCAGGTCTTACACAAGGTATTTCTTTCATTTCAAAATAGCCTACATATTCTTCCCAAATACTGGGATTACATAAATTCAGTGGCCATTTCTCACCCAAGTGTCTTCTGATTCTCTGCTAGATGGCTCTAGCAGACAAATCAGGCTTGAGTAGAAACTGTACAGAGGCAGTGGGCTGGTCACTCACAAATGCACACTTCAACAGACAAAGAAACCTCCCACATGGGAGGAGGCCAAGGCTCGGCTTTGGGCTGTTGCACCATGGAGTCAGTCACTCAATGATGTGCGTATTGCGAATTCATCATCTCTGTTGATGTTATTACATTGGAGTTCAATCTCTAGAGAGAATTCAAGCCAGAAATTTACTGTCTGTTTAGTCTATTGGATTAATATAAAAGTGAGTGGATTTCTATTTCTTTCAGGTGGTTTGGCAGAACAGACAGGTGCACTTCATGTGGGAGACAGGCTACTGGCAATTAATGGAGAATCTCTCAGAGGGAAACCACTTTCAGAGGCAATAGCTTTGTTGCAGAGTTCTGGAGACACTGTCACCCTCAAGATAGCCAGAACTGTAACAAGTAAGGAATATGTGCAGTAGGTGGCATAGAACAGAAGAGAGATTCGTAACTGGCAGTTTGAGGATCAATATTAGTCCGCTCTAAATTTTATTTTGCATTACCATTGATTTATGAGGTCCTGCAGATCTGATTCAGCAACTATGAAATCAATAAAATCTTCTTGGGCAATCGGCTGCGTCAAATGGTTACCGTAGTAAACTACGGTAACCAGTTGACGTAGCTGATTGCCCGAGAAGATTTTATTGATTGTACTCACCACGAAAGTCTCAAATCCTATATCCTATGAAATTGGTTGCACTATCTGAATAAATGTGTCATTGTGCCATACTTTGTATGAAAAGGTATTTTAGGGTATGGTGTGTATTAATAAATGAAAAATCACAGAAAATGTTTCAGCGGTAGTGCACCACCTGTAGAATTTACTAATGGAGCAGTCAAAGGGTTAAGTATATTTTATAGCCCTACCATGCTTTTGTCAGGTTACCAACATTCACTTTATCTTGGCATTCTTTAAACTAAAGTGGAGTGCTTACAGTATAGAAGAGAATTTATTGCCCATTTTTTAACAGAACCTGTGTCAGATAGCTGCGAGAACACAGTACTTTCTGCTGGTCAGTTTGGTCCAGCTCTGCCATCTGTTGACAGTGCAGTAGAATCATGGGATAGTTCAGTTTTGGAACAGTCTGCTCCTAGCAATAACACCTCACCAGAATGCAGTCATCCACTTCAGCAGCACCAGCAGCTTTCTGTGGCAGAAATGTACAAGTCAGGTAAGTGTGGACCAGTCAGTATAACTTACACCCAAGCTTTCCGCCAGTGGTATTGAAAAGCGCGGTGTCTGTTTTAAACCGACACTTCAGTGTTTAATTTGTCTCATTTACGTTATAGACCTGTGGGGAGATACCTGTTTGCTTAAGACTTCAGAAAGTATAGAAAATATTAGTGTTTGAAGAATTTTTATGGGGTTCGCAGTGGCCGCGCTGTCTGAGGCGTGGGTCTTGTGCCGCTTGGTCGCAGGGACTGTGGGTTCGAATCCCACTCAAGCCATGGATGTTTTTCTGTGTTGTGTTGTCCTGTGTACAGGTAGAGGCCTTGCGATGGGCCGATCCCTCGTCCAAGGAGGCCTACTGAATGTCCATAGATCAAGCTAACTGAAAAAAAAAGTTGGGGATCCGTAAAGGGTACCGGAAAATGTACAAACACTGTTAAACCGGAAAAAGAAGAATAAGAAGAATTTTTATGGAAATTTTATTGAGTCAGTAGTTAGATAACTATTTTAACCTCAAATTGGACATTATAGCGAGCAACTTGTTGAAACCAATGGGACTTGAAAACATTAAATCTTTACTTATGTCAGTTACCTATATTTGATTCCAGATAAAAGTCCACTGTCTCTAGAATTGTGATAACTCAGAATGAATTCATGTAAGTGAAGGAATAAAGCTTAAATGTTAGTTGACTGGAGTATCTTTAGAGACATTTTTTTACTGAATATCTGCAGTGAAATGTATGCTAACTTCTTAACCAATGGAATTAATAAGATATCAGAAAAGGAACATGTAGATTAATGAAGGGAAAGTTATGTATTAATTGTATCTTTGCAGATATAGCTGTTTGAAATTTACAAAGAACTTAGTATTGTGATATATCTTCAGCTTTCATTAATTACTTAGAGCTTTTGACAAGGTTAATTGAAATTAACTGTGAAAGGAATGGAAGAAAAAGGGCTTTCCAAGGCACCTTATAATTATAGTGTGTAGACAACACAATACAAATAGAAGGTACAGGAAAACAAAACCCCAATAGCAATTAACCTTTAACTTATGTGAGACCCATATGCTGGGTTGTTAAATTGCAGTACCCTATCCTGTGAGAGACCCGTATACTGAATTTTCTTCTGGTACTGAAGCTATTGCTCAGCAGACCACATTGCAGAAGAAACTATTTATATTCCTGTTTGGTCAGATGCTTTGTGGCTTCAAAGCCTACCAGCACTCCTTAAAACAGAACTGTTTGTAATTTTTGTGGTACACTTCATACTCTCACCAATATAGAGCCCCACACACACTCCTTGCTGTTTACTTGCACTCGCCTTTGTATCCCTCGTGTGAAACGTGAAATTAACTTCGAAGGTGTGGATTAGCCGATGACTCCTGAAGTGTACCTTGAGCCGACTAATATTTTTCAAAACTGCAGTTAGTCTGCCAATGGGATTACAGGACTGAGGCAGTCTCCCATTATTTTCAGTCACGTTTTATACAAGGGCAAGTAAGAAGTTTCTATGTGTCATTTTGACACCATATGATGTTAGGAGGATGAAGCTATTCACAGTAGTTATATCACACAGATGTAGAAAGTTTTTTTTGTCTGTCTCGCATGTCCACTGTTGGGTTGAGTAACTGTTGGTCATTCTGTCACCCTTATCAATATGCTGGTTACAGTGCTGTACAATTTGTAGCTTCAAAACATTTCCATATTTGTCAAAATATTTTCCTTTTGTTGCTGGTGGATTATGCATATTTGTCAGTAAATACACATCACATTTATATCTCCAGACCATTACCATCAAGTAATTTCTTGTGCCCTATCCCTCCCTAAATAGGCTTTCATGCCACATGTGTTGCCAGTCTTGCTACATCATTTGTGCATAACTGACCTTGTTATAATTGTCATAATTTTTCAAAGCCTGTCATATTTCTCATATTCTGTCTTAGAAGGTAAAATTTTGTTATCACTTCAGTGGACAAATCTCAGTATAAAGAAACCTTTCTCCTCTACAAGGGCATAGAAAACTGTTCTAGTGTAGACCATGCTCCATTTATAAAAGTATTATGTATAAATAAGTGTATTTTTTGTTTAGTGGCATCAGTGAACTTGAAAGGATTGGGGATGAAGTATTTTAAGGATTTAACCAGACATTAACCTTGAGTAACTGAGAAAAACCTTAAAAATCCTTGGTGAGATCATGGACTACTGATAGTTTGCAAGTCTGATCGCAGCACTTTCTTTGTTTCTAACGTCACTTTGTTTTTGGATGAGTGGTAATACTCCTGCTTGTTCATCCACATTTGCAGTTCGGTCCTAACAAAAATTGGTTTTGTCAGACTCATATTAAATTATGTATGCATTTCCTACAATTGGCAGGAAACTACTCTAGTAAAAATATGTATTGTATTCATACATACATTACACTTGAAGACAATGGGAAGTATTGTAATAGATGCTTCTTTTGCACTGATTATTTGACATCGCCGCAAAACCTACCTGTTTCCAGAGAGTGCAACTGTTAAAAGGAAGCATAAAGTGGGGTTGGAAGGTCAGTTGTCAGCAAGCAGCCAGATTTGGGACAACATTTCCCACAGCTGTCATAGCATTGACAGTGGACAGTCTGGTATGTTATTTGAATATTTACAAGAGCGTTCGTATCCCAATCAGAAATTAAAAATTTTACATTTTAATGCCATTGCTGCAGTTCATAATTTTGTTTGCATTATTGCATAAATGTTTAGAATACTGTCAGTTAACAGTTATGATATGAACAAAAGGGCAGCATAAATTATGTTCATTTAACAGAAAATCGAAAGAAACAATTTAAAGTGATAAAATGTACTGCCCTGATAAGTTTGTTATTACTATTCATGTTGCTGTCTTCTGCTATATGCCAAATACATCCTTTGCAGGGCTTCTTCAGTTTAAAAGAAGGTATATCTTAAAATGTTCATGATGTTTTGTAAGAGTTGGATGTATCTTATTTAATTTAAATGATTACAGATTCATGGAAGAATAGTACATTTTGCAAGACGTTTACTAGTTCCAGTGTGTAGTGGAAAGGAAAAGCATGATGTTGCAATTGTGCATTTTAGAAAATAAATACTGTGTATTTTTAAAAGCTTCAGATTCGTGTTTTGAAATGTAGCTACAAATTGGCAAAATCTGCCTGCTGTGTGTTGTATAAGAGGAATATGAATGTTTTAAATCCTATCTGTATCATGACTGTGAAAGGGTTAATCAAATTTCTGGGAAGTTTGTGGATGCTTTTGGGAGTCCTTGTTAATATCAGTGCATATGTATGCCTATGTTTTTGTTCACAAAGGCTAGTCTAATTTAGATAGAAATTAATGGATTTAACATTGATTGGCTTTGGATAAAAGAACCCACACTACAGTCCCTAGAATCGTGCTCAGTTACATTGGGACAATGCCCCACAGGAGCTGTGTCTGATGAGGAGAAGGACAAGTCACCACCAGTTGATGATGAAGCGCCATCTACTAAACAAGTCCTTGGTGCTGGCACCATGAGGTCAGGTAGGTACAACCATATTATTCCAAATTATCATCACAGATAAGGTAATTTTACAGACTATTTTTTTCTCAAAATTTACAATATTTTATATTTAATTTATCCTCAGTGATCATATTTTTACACATAGAATTTGATAGTAACAGTTATAATTCATGATGTTAACCTTTGATAGCTGTAAAAAAGGGGTGCATTTATGATATTATGTGGTGAAGGTTTTGTGAATGTGGAGGCAGTATGTTCCTCTGAAATGCTCATAACCACCTGCAACACCATCTGGTGTCACAAACTAGAATAACATCACTGACAAGTTTGTGTGCACATGTGTATCATGTGCATGGCCTGTGTGGTGTAATACAGAACATTGCATTTTGCTTCCGTACCTGTTACAGGAGAGTCGTCACTGCCTTGTGCAGACATCATGTTCTCAGGCAATCCTGTTCCTTCGGTGGGTCAGAAGCTTCC